TTATGTGGTCATTCATCAGTTCATTCATCGAACTTTTACTGAGTGCCCACCTATGTGGGTGCTAGGTACTGTGTGCGAAAAGGGTACAAAGATGGAAATGATCTGGTCTCCAGTGTGCTTCATGTGAGGGTTCTTTAAAAGAATAAGCATTTAAAAAATGGAAGAGGCGTTATGCACGGCCTCATTTTGATAGGATGCGTACATGTAACCACTCAGACGGAACCATTACTATGACTTTAAAAGCACTTTCCACAGCATTGATATTTAGCGCCTTTTGAGAATCTACCACATTATCGGCACAAAAGATAGAGTGGAAAAGTCAGATGTGGATCCTGTACCGCCGGAGCTGACAGTCTAGGCGAGGGGAAGTTACTTAAACAAGCAATTGCAATCATGCACGTCTGAACACAGAGGAGAGCAGAGAGCTGCTCCGAGAGCACAGGGCGGGAAGCACAGCATGGCTGGTGAGTCAGGAGAAGGCGAACTCTATAGCGGTGGCAGGCAGGGTTCCCAGTGACCTCCCGTGATCCTTGCCCTTGTATAATCCCCTCCCCTTGTGTGGGCAGGACCTGTGACTTGCTTCTGACCCACAAAATATGGCAAAGATTAAAGGATTTTGAAGAGGTCATTAAGAGGTAATCCCCTAACCAGCTGACTTCCAATTAATCAAAAGAGAGGTCATCCTGGGTGAGCCTGACCTAATCAGACAGGGCCTTTAAATGGGGGTGAGGGAGTCAGGGATTCAATGAAACAGAGACTCTATCTCCATTTCTGGCCTTGAAAAAGCAAGCATCATGAATTCTATGGCTCTAAGGAAACGAATTCTGTCAACACCACGAGTGAGCTGAGAAGCAGGTCCTTCCCCAGTCTGGCCTCCAGATGAGAATGCGGCCCGGCCAACATCTTGATCTCAGCCTGGTAAGACCCTACGCAGAGAACCCAGCAGCCATGCCCAGACTCCTGACCTCGGAACACTGAGGTAGCAAATGTGTATTATTTTAAGCACTAGGTTTGTGGTAATTTGTTACACAGCAATAGGAAACGAACACAAGAGTAGATTACACAGGACTCACTTAATGATGTCTTCCTGGCAAAGGAAGACTTTCAGCACTGAGGCTCAATCTGCACTGCTGGCCAACAAGACCCCACTGTTGCGTTTCCTGTGTCCTCCCAGCGAAATGCAGGCCAAGTTTATACATAATAAATGAGGTCTCCTTGCCCACTCCCTGAGGATGTCCCGTCTGCTACTCAATGTAAATATCTACTTGATGTTAGAATTGAGGGCACAGGAAGTAGTATATACTTTTCCCAACTATTAAAAATGTACCTCACTTTATGCAAATGATGTGATATTGACAAACTCTAGCAAAGTTTTTTTCAGATAGGACTCAATGTTTTTGGTTGAACCAATTTTCAAGGGTCTACAGAGCACCTGCCATGTGCTAGAACTATGCATGATGAAAAACCGAAGGGACATTGAGTTGTGTTTCTAGCTGTTGAGGAGCTTGAGAGAGACACTTTTTGTAGTGGGAAAAGTTACAGAACAATCAACACTGAGCTCTAAAAGCTGGGATGGGGAGGTAATTGCTGAGTGGCAGGAGTAATGAGAATAATGCATTTGACTCATAGGCTCCTCCCTCAGCAAACAAGGGAAGCAGGGGAATGTCCTTGGCTTCCCGCTGGGTGAGCTCACGCAACAGGAGTTTGTGATCTGTTTGCCAATTATTCCTAAATCTTGCATATTCCGAATTTTGAGCTGAAGCGGAGTTATTCAACCAATGTCTCAACAGATGTTATTCAACAAGTAATGTTTACTGAGCACCTACTATATCAAGTGCTGTGCTAGGAAGTGAGAACACAGGGCTGTAGCTGTCAGAATGTTTTAAACTGGAAATAACAGAAAACTTCATGCAAGTGGCTTAAACCATAAGCAGATTTACTCTGTCACCAAACAAGCAATCCTGAAGTAGGTCTGCTCCAACACTGGCTTATGTGGGACCTCACCAACCTCATTCAGGACCCAGGTTCTTTTCTGTTTTCCATTCTCTTTAAGACAATGACTTATTCTTAGCTGCCTCTCCTCGTGGTCACAAGATAGCTGCCACTACTCCGGATCTCCAGACACAGCTTCCCAACACTGTCTAGAAAAGAAACAAGTACTGTTTCTTCCCACGTGTCTTCTTTTTTATCAGCAAGCGGGGGTGGGGGAGGGATCTTTCCCAGAAATCCTCAGCTGACCTCCCCTGACATTTATTAACCAGAATTATAGTTCATGTCCGTGCCTGAGCCATTCTCCCGACAGTATCCACGAATGTTGTAGTCAAAGACAGTAATGACTGTCTCTGCGCTGGGGGACAGAAGGTCCGACAGAGAGTGTACAGTCACACATGGCCACAGACATGTGGCCGGAGAGAACCGTGTGCTGTACGAGAGCGGGCGGGGTCATCACGGTGAGGTCATAGATCAGGAAAGGCCGTTCGGAGGCACTGAAAGACGAGCCAGCAGCGGCCGGGTGCAGGGCTGGGGAAGAGCATTCCGGGCGGAGGAAAAGCCGGCTCCTCTGCGAGCGAGAAAGGAGATCAGTGCAGCCGAGCCGGGAGGGAGAAGCAGCGTGGAATGAGCAGCACACAGGGGCCGTCCTCCCCTACAGTGGGAAGGATTCTACCCTAAGAGCAATGCAAAGGCACTGAGGTTTTTATTTATTTTTTAAATTCTCACTCGAGGATACTTTTCCATTTATCTTCAGATAGAGTGGGGGGAGGGGGAGAGAGAGAGAGAGAGAGAGAGAGACATTGGTTGGCTGCCTCCCGTACAACCCCGACCAGGCTGGGGACGAACCACAACAGAGAATCAAATCCACGACTATTTGGTCCATGGCTGATGCTCTAACCGCTGAGCCAAACGGGCCAGGGCAGCACTGAAGGTTTTTAAACAGGGGCATGACATTATCTGACTTGTGTCTTTAAGAACTCAGTCCAGTTTCGGTGTGGAGAATGGATGGAAAGTCAAGGAGATGTAGGAGTCTATACGTCCATCTGATGCTTTGGCAACAGAAGGGGTGGAGGGAAAGTGGACAGAATTGAGGGTGGATGGCATTGTCGTGCTCCAGGGCATACAAGGTGGACAGTCCCAGGACTTCCTCTCGGGGCACAGCCTGAAGACGCAGGTGCACACACAGGACTGCACTTACCTGCCATGTGTGTGTGGGGGGGGGGTCTCAGAAGGTGATCACAGGTGTGGTCACTTGAGGGTGGGCCTGATTTCAGGGCGACTTCTGAAGGATGGAGACGTTTGAGCAGGGCGCCGAGCTCCGTGCAAGGTGGCTCTGAAGGCGCAGACATGGGAAGGGCAGCCCAGGGAAAGGCACCAGCAGGAGCAGACGCAAAGCAGCAGGAAATGAAGGCTGGAAGGGAGAGAAGCAGGTGGCGCAGTTTGTAGGGGCTGGTGAAGGGGCATTCTGGGAAATAAGGCTGGAAAAGTCGTGGGTGTCAGGTTAAGAGAGTTCTGGGTGGCAGGCTAGGATAATAAAACAAGGAGAGGGGGGGAATCTAGCTTAGCTACAAAAGAACTCACCAATTAGTACCAATTAGCTACAAAACCACTTAGTTTTCCTAGGAATCATGAACGTGCTAATCGGGTTTTGAGTATTTATTTACTGGATGGACCAGCAGTATCTCTTCCTGACATCTCTGCCGCCTGCCAGTCATTGGCCAACGATTTCTAACTTGTTTCTGGAATACATTCCTTCATCATTCACGGAGTATTGGAGCTGGGGATTCTAGAACGAAGAGCTGGTACAAAGGAGGGAAACATGATCTCTACTGCCTGGAGTGTGGGGCCAGATTTCAGAGAGGTGGTGGCCTTTCACTGGGCTTTAACGAATGGATAGGAGTTTGCCAGGCAAGGAAGTGAGGTGGGAAGGCCCTCTAAAACAGGGAATGGATGTGTCTTCTCACATGTGTCAATCTTTTGGATGTGTCAATCTTTTTTTTTTTTATATGTTTTTATTGATTTTTTTTTTTTAGAGAGAGAGATACATCAATCGGCTGCCTCCTGCACACCCCCTACTGGGGATTGAGTCCGCAACCTGGGCAGGTGCTCTGACTGGGAATCCAACTGGGACCACTCAGTCCATGGGACGTTGCTCAATCCACTGAGCCACACCGGCCGGGCTCACACCTTCAATCTTATAAGTCCTATAGAAGGTACATTTTTAAGTTTCATTTTCAAGCTCGCAGAGAAGTTGGTGATAATTGGTGAGTTCTTTCAGTTGCTACAAAACAAGAGTTGGCATCTAAATATTTGACCCGAATAAACACATTTTCTCTAATGTTAACAAGAAGTCACAATTTAAGAAAATCCAATTGGTTAAACTCCCTGCTCGCAATTGTTTCTCAGGGAGGTTTTACGGATTTTTACTTCTTTTTAGGTCAGCAAGGAAAGAAATCTTAAATCTGGTTTTTTGGAGACTAGTAAATGTATCAGTCATCAGTGGACCCCTTGTCTCCTGTTTTTCACGTACAGAGGGAGAGGTTGCAGTTCACCGTCATATATGGCTCCTCATTTCGGCACTTGCAGAAAATTGGTCCCTTCTGAGCTTCACAGCCATTCACGAGTCATCTCACACCCAGACACCCAAGACCACCCTGTCTCAGAAATGTGCTAATTGCCCATTTTGCCCCAAGATAACCTCATAGACCCTCTGGAGACATTCGTATTTTATGAGAAAGTGAGCAAGGAATTCGTGTAGGCCTGGAACGAACTGCCCTCATTGACCAAGGGTGTAGAATCAGGACGTAGGGCGGCGCGTGGACCTGCCCAGGTTGCCTGAGCCGGGCAGCAGAGCCGTGGCCCGAAGTTGTGGCAGAAGGGGGGAACCAGCGGGGAACAGCGCAGCGTTTTGGGGAACTGAACCATCACAGGCGGACGCTGGTGCACTTCCTTTCTTACACTCCGCCCCCACCGCCCGGTCTCTGTCTCTTTCCTTTTCTCTCGGGGCAGGGTTATGCGTCAGTTTCCGAAAGGTGGGGACATTTCCTGAGCCTTTGCAACGCTGGGGAGCTGTCTCAAGGGAGGCTGGACCCCATTCTGCGCAGCAGGCTGGGAACGTGAAGGCCGGGCTGCCTGCTGGGGAGGAACCCCAGTCACTGTCTCCCCGTCTCCTGCCAGCGCTCAGCCTCCTGGTGCCCACCTGACCATGTCCCTGGCTGAGGCCATCAGCCTCTGGAATGAAGGGGTGCTGGCAGCCGATAAGAAGGACTGGAAGGGCGCTCTGGACGCCTTCTCCGCAGTCCAGGACCCCCACTCCAGGATCTGTTTCAACATCGGCTGCGTGCACACCATCCTGGAGAACTGGGCGGCGGCAGAGAAGGTGAGTGAGCGGAGATGCCTCCGGGCCTCCTGGAGCCTTGGTACTGAGTGGTTCTCAGCCTGCGCCGCACCTGAGAAACCTCTTGGGAGCTTTATAAGCACAAAAGCTGTCCAGGCCCCACCTGCACGGATCCTGATTTAATTGGCCTGGGGAGGGGCCCGGCAGCCTTCTTTTGCAAGCTCCACAGATGGCCTTCATGCAAATGGTCGTCACGGGCAGCTGGGCTGGGCACCCATGGGCTCAGCTCTCCTTCCCCCCAGCGATGAATGCCACATAGCTCTGGCACTGTTCGCCCACCCCTTCCTGAAGACTCCCCTGGGCATGTTTCCCTCTGTGCACACTTGCTGGGCACACTCGCCGCTTCACACCTGATCATGAGACGCCTCTTTCTGGCTACCCGCAGTTTCACATGTGCGGTGAGCGCTGCCTGCCCAAGAGGCCAAGGGGGGGCGCTAGAGGAAAATGGGTTTCACCTGTGTGACAGTTCATCCGCGTGACAACTATGGGGGCACGCTGAAGGACTCTGAGGCTGGTGGACGGAATCAGACGGCCATTGATTAATGATGTCTGCTGGGACATGGTGTGGGCGTTGGAGCATCTTTTTCAGATCCAGCCGTCCCACGTCACGTGGCACTTCGGCTTTCGTGGCTTCACTCTATCGCCGTTTTTTCAAATATATTCATTAAAAAGTTGATCGAGACGGTGAAAATGAGACAGCGCGCACTCAGTTGTCTGAGTCAGTTATACACCGCGTATTACAATGACAATTACTGCGCGTATGGACTGTAGGCCTCTGTATCCAAGCACCGGGAATCCTTCAACGCCAGGTGCAACCACTAGAGTCTGGAACGGATCGACCGCCCACTCTGCCTCTCTCGGGGCTTCCAACGCTCAGCTTCTCCAGGGGCTGAACATCCTGATGGTTAAGAGACACCACCTGCCCTGGCCAATTTGACTCAGCGGTAGAGTGTCAGCCTATGGATTGTGAGTTGAGGGTTCGAGTCCGGCCAAGGGCGTGTACCTCGGTTGCAGTTTGTAGCCAGGGCTAAGAAATAATTAAAAAAAAACAAAAAGGGAGGCACCACCTGTTAAAATGCTTAGTCACTTCACACAAGGGTGTAAATGTTAGTCCTTGTTTTTACTTTTTTGTTGTTGTTGTTAATCCTCACCCGAGGATATTTTCCCACTGATTTCTAGATAGAGTGGAAGAAAGGGAGGGAGGGAAAGAAAAAGAAGGAAACATCTTGTGAGAGACACATGGATTGGTTGCCTCTCTCATGACCCCACCTGGGGCCAGGGCTCAAACCTGCAACCCAGGCACGTGCCCTTGACTGGAGTTGAACTGGAGATCCTTCCACCCTCGGGCTGATGCTCTAACCACAAACCCTGCCAAATCGGCCAGGGCTTGTTTTCACCTCTTAGCCAGTCTTTTCAAGGCTTTGTGGACAGATGACGGGCTCCCCAGCCCCTCCCAGCCATCCTCACTGTGACGGGGCGCAAAGACGAGGGAGGAGAGAAGCTGCTTGGGAGACCGTGCAGACGGACAAGTCCATCTCAGGTCCGGAGTGGGCAGGCAGGAGCACGTGCGGCCCGCCACCTCTCGGGGCCTGCCAGGAGGGTCAGCAATAACGTCACAGTGTCCGAGGGCTGCTAGAGGCACATTTTGCGGGGAGAGGCGAGTCTGGGGCAGCTATGCCAGCGGGGCTCCCGCAAGGCTAGGCAGGCCGCCGCTCACCCCTGGGCTGGCTCCCTGCACGTGGGCCTTCCTCTCCCCAGGGGTCCTCTGTTCCGCCTCCTCACTCTCTGCCTTGCTCTGATTTCCTGCTTGAGTCCTCACTCTTGGCATTTTACATGCATTCTTCTTTGTTATTGTTTTAGCGTAATCCTTGCGTAATGAGTTCATATACTAAACAAATATAATGTTCTCTGCAGGCCTTCTCCAGAACCATTAACCGGGACAAGCACTTGGCAGTGGCCTACTTCCAACGAGGGATGCTCTACCACCGGCTGCAGAAGTAAGTAGCCCGGTGCTGCGCAGGCCGGGGAGGTTCGCCGAGAGACCCGGAGCGGTCCGGTGCTGCTAGCCGGGGTGTTCCAGACGGTCTCCCTAGCCTCTGGGGGAAGCATGGCTGGAGATTCCCTGGGCGGTTACGCAATAAATCAGCACGACGCAGAAGCCTTCCCCAGATGGGGAAGTCAGGCCAGACGCCCGCTTTAAATCAGCTGAGTCATAGCTCACAATGGGCCCACAGAACCACCACAGGCCCAGTATTCAGGTGCCCCACGAGCATCCCTGATGGGTTATGGTTGGATGGCGCTGGTCATAAGCTGTGTGCTAACTAGGAGAGGATTCAGAGCCAAGACTTGAACTCTAAGAGAACATCTATTTGGAAAAATCATGGAGGTAGATGTAATTTGTAGAAGAAATGGGCTTAGGAAACAAGTTATAGAGACAAAGAAAGGGCCCTTGGAGCTTAGAAGTCAAGGTGACATGCCTGGAGGAGGGGGATGGGAGGGAGAAGGAGGGGAGGGAGGAGGAGGGAAGAGGAGGGAGGAAGCGGGGTTCCTGAGTCAGGTGGCTGGTTTTGCTGCTCTCCTGGGCCTGGAGCTAAAATACCGCTGAGGCCTAAGTGTTATCTCTAAGGAGGAAGTATCAGGGAGTCCACACCACACCATCAGCGATAAGCTGGGAGGAAAGGTCACCCTGGGGACGAGTCCCACCCTACACTTGTCCTTTGCTGGACACCCAGGCTTCTGCCCTGGTGACCTTCTGTACCTGGCCCACCTCCCTTGCTCTGCTCGTGTCTAACTGCCCTCCCCATGACCACTTACTTCCACATTAATTTTCCAGCCGCCAGTCTTGTCTTCTCCACCCTTATTGCAGACTGATCTCCTTTAAAAAATTAATGTTCTATGCTTAAGAAATTCCAGTGGATCCCATTACTATAGGACAACAGTCAAATCCCCGCTGATTCTTTTTTTTTTTTTTTTAATCCTCACCCGAGGACATTTTTCGATATTTTGTTCAGATAGAGTGGGAGGGGGAGGGAGAGAGAGAGAGAGAGAAACATCGACGTGAAAGGGACACATCGAGTGGCTGCCACCTGCACAACCCAACCAGGGCCGGGGACAAACTGCAACCGAGGTACGTGCCCTTAGCGGGAACCGAACCCAGGTCTCTCCAGACCGCAGGCCAACGCTCTAACCGCTGAGCCAAACCGGCCAGGGCCCCGCTGATTCTTAAACGCAGTCCAAGCGGCTGCCTACCCACCCACTCATCCCACTGTCCGCCCGGCCGCTCGGCCACCAGGGCGGCCACCTCTCTTGTGCATTCTTTTATAACGTGTCTTCTCTGTGACAGACACTTGCTGAGATATGTGTCTCCTCCACTGCTCCTTGAGTTTCTTGAGAGAAGAAGTCTTTACTTATTCACTCTTGCATTTCAGTATTGAGTAAATGAGTTAATGCTTATTGAGTTCATTATACTAAAGTGAGAAAAAAAATATGGCCTCTGCTTGCAGAAACTTGTGAAAAGGGGGAAACAGGTCACAAACACCGGGCACGAGAATGCAAGGCAGACGGGGGCAGGGGCTATAAGAGAGGCTTGACATCGAGTCGCGGGCACTGGAGAGAGGACTTCTTGGTGAGCGGGTTAGGGATTCCCTCATGTTGCAACGAGATGTGTTTGGGGGAGATCACGTTGTGGGTGTGTTTTTCTCTCTGCTTCCCCACTTTCATGTGCTGTACTCTTTCCTGTCGTTGTGGAGTTCCTCAGAACAACATCAGGGGGCGCGTCTGAGAAGGCAGGTGGCATCCCAGGGATGACCACGGCGATGGTCTCTTCTCTGCCCACAGCCTGTCATCTGAAGGGGTTAGGAAGCGGCAGGTGTTCCGGATCCGGGGCCCTGGGAATCTGGGGGCTGTGCTAGTGAGACCCTGAGATGTTGCTGGCCCAGGGAGGCAACACAGCAAAGTCTTTGTCCTGCAGCCTTTGAGAAGGGCAACTGTGACCTCCAGCCCCTGCCACAGAGGTGTTGGACGTATTGACTGTTTGCAGCTGCTAAAACTCTCTGTATCCTGGGCTGTGCACGGGGACGGGTGGAACAGGAGCAATGAGAAACACAGCAGTTACTAAGAAACCTTTCCAGGAGTGTTACAGAAATGAGGGTTATAGCCCCCGGGAGGCTCCGAGCTTGTGTAAGGCAGGCAAGCTTGCCCTGTGCTGCTGGTCCCCTGCCTGGGGGTGTGGGGGCTCCAGCCCTGCGCTGCCAAGATGCCTGGTGGGTGTCAGCACCTGGCAGGAGGCTGCCAGCCCCTTGGCCTCCTCGGGGACACGGTGCTTTCCAAATGGCACCAAAGAGAACTGAAGGAGGGCTGGGGCACTGCACGCTCTTTGAGAGCTTCACACTGAGCTGATTCAGACCCTGCGTGGGCGGTGGGCAGAGCTGCGTATCAAGGCCCATGCCCCTGGGGCTCAGCTCCTGGGAAGCAAGTGGGGGGCTGAGCAGAGGTCTGCAGCAGGCAGCCCCAGGATGCTCAAAGTAAACACTGAGGGGAAAAAAAAAGAATTTCCAAGTAAACACTGACATTTAGCAGGGCCCTCTTCACCCGTTCTTTTTTAACACAAAGTTAGCACATTGAATAATTTGTAGGTTCTTTATCTCTCCCTCCCGCTGGCCCAGATCTCCAGACACCTGGATGGGCAGAAGAATTATGAGGATTTGTTGGGGTCATTCAATACCGGGTGACGCGGGCAGTGTCACTTCACAGCTGAAATTCATCTGCTCCGCCAGCACTTTGGCCAGTAAGGAAGCACATGGTAGGGTAACGCTGACAGTGCCCAGGGTGTGCCCTCCAAGGACTGCTTCCCTGTCACATGGGCAGGGGACCCAGTGGACCCGCATGTGCCCGGAGCAGGACGCCTGCGGCCCCGCCTGCTCCTCCTCCTTGGCTCATGGCTCAGAGCCGGTCACCCGATCTCCCGGCTGAGAAAGAAGGGACAGGGGTGCCCGAAAGCACGTGCCAAGATCTTGAAATGCTTCCTGCTTCTCAACGAACGTGCTTTCGATACTTTTACACTCATGTCTATTAGCAGCAAGTGTGTGGCAGAGCGAGTTTCTCCTGCTTCTCCCGATACCGCTGCTGCAGCTCACTTCAAACCCAGGGGGACAGGATGTCCAGCTTCCCCCCAGCCCCCTGGGGACACGGTCCTCAGGACTCTCTCGCCAGCCCGCCCTCCCGGTCAGCTCCGCCCTCCCCGGAGATCAGAGTTCCAGCTTCTACGACCGTGTATTTTCGTCTCCTGATGATACTTCCTACAGCCTCGGATGTTAAGGAAGCATGCACTAAGTGCTGGCATGTGGACTTCATTGCCGGGGTCTTAGAGCTGAAGAAATATATAATAATGTCAATGATGACGTGTGCCAGGCACCGTCCTAAGCACCCGAAGGCTTCACCCCACTCCGTTCTCACGGCAACCCCGCGAGGCCCGTGCTGCTGTTACTCCGTCCTTCTGAAGAGGAAGCAGACGTAGAGAAATTCGCCACGTGCTCTTTGTCATTAGATAGTAAGTGGCAGAGCCTGGTCAAGTCCGCGGTTCTGACTCCAGAAATCAGATCCGGGACCACCTCCCAGCAAGCGCCCCATCTTCGATGCTCCTTGAATATAATATGCTCCTGGGGCACAATGCACTCTTTATGTTATGCACCCGGAACCCGAGGCCAGGGAAGCACCTTGCCAGGGTCTCCTGGTCACCGGCAGCGCTGATGGAGGTGGCCCCAAGCTCCTGGCTGCGGCCCTAGGATGCCTTCACCGTGCCAGCCCCTGGGGGTCCCCAGCAGCCCGAGTCCAAATTCCAGGCTCCCGCCGAGAGAAGCCACACATGGCAGCTCCAGGTGGGACAGAGGCCTGGGACCTGTGATTCCGGTGCCCAGTGGGAGCCACAAGCAGCAGCCAGATTTGTTCCTTCCAGGCCAGGGGGTTGGGGGGTGAGGGTAGCTTCTTATTTCTTTTAATCCTCCCCTGAGGATATTTTTTCATTCATCTTCAGATAGAGTGGGAGGGAGGGAGGGAGAGAGAGGAACATTGATGAGAGAGAGACACCTTGATTGGTTGCCTCCCACATAACCCCAAAGAGGGCCAGGGAACAAAACCCAACACAGGCCGAGGTACGTGCCCTTGACCGGAATCAAACCCAGGACTCTGGTCCAAGGGCCGGTGCTCTAACCGCTGAGCCAAACTGTCCAGGGCAAGTAGCTTGATGTTTGCTGCTCCCCACAGCCCAGCAACGACTCCCTCCCACCAGGGCAGGGAGGTCAGGGGCAGGGTAAGGAGACCTCATCCAGGTCCTGCCCACACCTCTGTGGGCACTGCTGGACCAGCCCCATCCTCTGCCAGGAACCCAGCACAGCTGCCCTGGTACCCCCGCGCCAGCCTGCACGAGGCCAGCGGAGAAAACACAAGCAAACACCAGGCGCAGTGTTAGAAATGCTGTCGGGCTGGGGTGGGGGGAGGTTCTTTTTTCCAAAATGTGTGGAAGGGGGTGGTGGGGAGAAGAGAGGAAGCAAGCCACAAAGCTAAGAGTGAAACTGGTCTCAAAAGAAGCCAAGGAGAGCCCGGCCGGTGTGGCTGGGTGGATTGAGCGTCGTCCCATGGACTGAGCGGTCCCAATTCCATTCCCAGTCAGGGCACATGCCCGGGTTGTGGGCTCAGTTCCCAGTGGGGATCGTGCAGGTGGCAGCTGATTGATATTTCTCTCTCACATCAATGTTTCTCTCTCTCTCTCCTTTCCTCTCTCTAAATCAATAAAAACATTTTTATTTTTTAAAAAGCAGCCCAGGAGAAGGCTCTGGGCGGGGGGGACATCGGTGGCAGTGGCCCCTCTGAGCGGTCCCTGTGTGGGGGTGGCCGGGCCTTGCGGGAGCAAGGAGTGAGCAGCCCTCTGAATCACCTCGCAGAGCCCAGTGCCCGGCAGGTGCTGGCTCTGCCTGGGGTCCTCAGGGGACAATGAGGCTCTTTTGCCAAGTGCCAGCCGAGCCTGTTGTCAGAAAGGCGGGTCTCGTATGCACTCAGCAGAGAAGGAAGGAAACACCTCTGGGCCAGCTGGGTGCCAACTCCAAGGGGCACCTGGCACACTGAGTTCTGCAGAAAACTAGGGCTCAGAGTTGGCAAAACAAACAAAAAAAAAACTAGAGGATTCAAAAGGCTTTTGTCCCAGGAAGAGGGATGGAGAAAGGGACACAGATGCACAATTTATTCCCGCTTTTCCTCCGCTCCCGGGACTGGTCCATTGTCTCCCTCGCCCTGCAGGTATGATTCAGCGATTACAGACCTGAAAGAGGCCTTGACTCAGCTTCGAGGGAACCAGCTGATAGACTACAAGATCCTGGGGCTGCAGTTCAAGCTGTTTGCCTGCGAGGTGAGGGGGAAGGGCCCAGCCTGGACGGCGTGTGGGCCGGGACGGTTTTCATGATAATTCGCACCGCTCAGGCGGAGGAGCTGTTTGCCCAGCATTATACTAACACATCCCAATGTCCACGAAGGGCCTGCTGTGACCCTGCTCCGTTCCCAGGTTACAGACCACGTTCTTTGCTATTCATGGTCCTGGCCTCGTGTACTTGGTTGATGCCCAAAGAAAAAGGGGAATTTGGCACAAATCTGTCCCCTCTCGGTCACAGAACAGCTCGAAGCACAAATTTGGGAGAGTTCTCCATAGAAAGAGAACTTATTTTCGGTATTAGCCAAAGGGAGGAGCATGACTTTGGTTTCACAGGTTAGTGTATTTTTCCAACCCACCCCCCTCACGCCCTTCTTAAACCTCAGATACCCCAGTAGCGTGGAAAACAAAAATCCCTACAAATAGCATAGATCTTTATTTAGAAGAATCACTAAAAAATGTCCCCTTGCTTGAGTTTCTCAAGCGGGAGAAGCCAAGTGTTTCCAGGGTCACCCAGGCTAATAATAGCGCCCGCAGCTGCCAGGCCCCCGGGGACACGTGTCCCCATCCAGCCCTGTGGCAGGCTGGCAGCCTACTCCCCCTCCCGGGCCAGGGCCATGAGGCTTGGCGGTGGGAAGGGGCTGGCGCGTGGCCAGCTGCTACAGTCGGTTTTTCAGCCGTGGCACGTTGGATATATCGGACCAGCTCATTCCTGGTTGTGGGGCACTGTCCTGTGCACTGTAGGATGTTTAACTGCATCCCTGGTCTCCACTCACTAGTTGTACCCCTCCCCCAGTGTGACAACCTAAAACATCACTAGGCATGGACAATCACCCCAGAGGAGAACCACTTACATAGATTCATGAATTGGGGGACCAAGGAGCTCTAGAGAGAGGATCAGGAAACAGTGGCATCGCAGAATTCCACGGGAGGACCGTCGTCCTGTAACTGGCATGGCAATGACCACGGGCCAGGGAACCGGCTGTACGGGCCTCTCCGCAAGTGAGGCTGGACTCCTCAGGGTACACGTCTCCTCTGCCACCTGGGACCCTGCAGTCATCCCCCTACTTACGATAGCACTTCTGCCTTGCACGAGGGAATACCCCTGGCTCTGAGAAGTCCCACCGGCCTTTTTGAAAAGAGGCCCAACCTTTTCCAGTTGTGGAGTCATAAAAGCCTGGTGTGGAAAAGGTCTAGAAAGAAGGCGGCTGAGAGCTGAACAGGAAGTTTTACACGCCCTGCAGCTCTTTCCTCCTGCACAAGGTCAAGGGTGGGCGGGGCCAGCCAAGTGTGACTGCAGAAGGCTCTGGCACTGGGGCGCAGAGGGCCTGGGATGGGATTTTAAATTTTTTTTATCTAGCTGATGCATCCAAAAGATTTAATTTTATGTGTAAGTTGTAAAGCATAAAAATAAAACAAACACTCATGAACCTACCACCGGACTCGAGACCTGGAAAATTACGGCTGTTGGTGAATGGGCTGTTCCCTCCTGCTGCAGCGGAGGTGCTGCCCGGTCTTGTGCTCAGTCCTTTCCAGCTTTGGCCCCTAGAGTGTCCTCATTCCATATGACTGTTTCAAAGTCTTGTGTTTTTTTTTTTTTTTGTTTTTAATTGATTTTGGAGAGAGAGGAAGGGAGAGGGAGAGAGAGAGAGAAACATCGATGAGAGAGAACATCGATTGGCCGCCTCCTGCATACCCCTCACTGGGGATCAGACCCACAACCTGGACATGTGCCCTGACTGGGAATCGAACCGGCAACCTCTTGGTGCAGGGGTCGACGCTCAACCACTGGGCCAGATCAGCCGGGCTGTTCCAGTCTTGTTAGTGCCGTGTCCTGGGCAGGATTCTGTAGGAGCTGGTGCAGGGTGAGGCATCTGGAACCCTCTTTGGCCCCCCTGCGCCTACCCCGTCCCTCAGCCTCGGTCACACATGTATTTTGTTCCCACCTCTATAAGTGGTCTTGAGCTTGTCGCCCTTCTTTTTTTTTAATCCTCTTCTGAGGACATTTTTGCATTTATCTTCAGACGGAGTGGGAGGGAGAGAGAAACACTGATGTGAGAGAGACACATCGACTGGTCGCCACCCACACAACCCCAACTGGGGCCGGGGACAAACTGCAAGCGAGGTCCGTGCCCTTAGCTGGAACCGAACCAGGACTCTCTGGTCCGCGGGCTGACGCTCTAACCGCTGAGCCAAACCGGCCAGGGCCTGTCACTCTTCTTGATACTAAAGCAACACAATAGGTCTTGTTTCCTCCTGACCCAGTCGGATGTCAAAAAGATGTACGCGACGTTGGATCCATGTGTTACGTGAAGTCCACTCAACGCCGTCCTGGTGCTGGACGGGACTCGGTAGCAAGACCGAGGGTCTTACATTTCAGACATTCCCGGGAGAGCTGGGAAAGGGAGAAATGTCCCCCGGCAACATGCCAGGAGCCTCACGCCAGCTCTTCCCTGGTACCCCGGTTTGAGGAGCCCCCGTTTCATGGTGTGGCCTGTGCCTTTCCAGGTGTTGTACAACATCGCTCTCATGCACGCCAAGAAGGAGGAGTGGAAAAAGGCTGAGGAACATCTAGCACTGGCTCTGAGCATGAAGTCCGAGCCCAGACACTCCAAAATCGACAAAGCCATGGAGTGCGTGTGGGTAAGCGCGCTGGTGACGCGGGGTGGCGGGAGGAGGCCGCTGGATTCCCACTGGTCTCCGTGGACATGCGGACTGAGAAACCACTGAAGTGGTGCCTTCACCTTCTGAGTCCGGGGTAACACGGACCTGGGGGTACAGTTCCACGCAGCACTTGAAACGGGAAGGGCTGGGAAGCCGAGGCCTAGAGCACGGCCGTCCCCCGAGGGGTCTGTGGCAGCAGAGCGGAGCAGGGGCGGGAGGCTGGAGCCGAGTGTGAGGCAGAGGCGGTGCCTGCTTGCTCACTGTTGGGCCCTGGCAGCCTGGCCCAGTGCCAGGCAATGACAGCTCTCAACAAAAATGCCTTGAGTACATGGACAAATGGTAAAAATGATCCATAGCTTGTCCGCGCACATTTGGGACGAAACCCATTGAGAATCAGATTTTTTAGCCCTGGCTGGTTTAGCTCAGCGGTTAGAGCGTTTGCCTGCAGTCCAGAGAATCAGATTTTTTTAAACACCGAGAACAAGGGTACACGAGTCAGTCTTTACACGCCTGCCCACGTCAGCAGACACGGATCCCGAGAGCACTGTTCTGAGCCTGGTGGTGGTCCCCTCTATGCAGTGAGTGACAGCCCCGCCAAACCACCTAGTGGGGGAGGGGCAGCTCCCCTGGGAAAAGGGGGTGCTGGGCAAATAGCAGCAACCGATGTCCACACAGCCCCTCAGTGAAAGGTGACGTTGAAACGAACTTTTCCCACCTTGGACACCTGAAATAATGGGTTTCACCCTCGCATGTTTAGAAAAAGTGCCTTTGTGAGTTATCTCCGCAGCTCCTTGCCCCGGGGCCGCGTTTCATAGGTCAGGAGACCTGTGCCCTGTGTTGCAGAAACAGAAGCTGTATGAGCCCGTGGTGGTTCCCGTGGGCAGGCTCTTTCGCCCGAACGAGAGGCAGGTGGCCCAGCTGGAGAAGAAGGATTACCTCGGCAAGGCCACGGTGGGTGGCTCTCAGCTTCCGCGGCGTCTCCTAAGGCATGGGCCTCGGGGGCAGGGGGAGGGGACTCCTGGACCCCCCTCGTGGCCCTGCTCTAGGGGAGCGGTGAGGCACCGTTTACAGTGTGGAGGTCTGGCTGAAAGAGGCTTCAGTTTATTTTCTCTGGGCTCCGCTCACGCCTCCCTTCCAGCCTGCCCCTGGGCGAGGGCCACAGGGTGGCCCAGAGGCTAGTCTCAGGGACTGAGCCTGGGAAGAAAGCTCAGCGGCGAGGCGCTCGCTAGGTGTGGAGAGAACACGTTAGGGAAACGGACCAGCAGGGCCTCCTCTGGCTTCATGCTCCGAGTCCCGTTTCCACAGACCTGGTCAGACTGGACTTCCGAATCCTGGTTTTAAACCCTTTCCCGAATGCTGCAAAATTAGTCAACAGTCCCTGCCAAAACTGCACTCGACGCTGACACTTTTGCGGGGCTAAAGTTGCCTCCTGAGACGGGAGCTGGTCCTGGCACAGACAGAGACTGGGCTAGTGGGACGCCCTGTCCGGCAGCGGACGGACGCATAAGCGACCGGTGATGTGCAGTGGAGGGCTCCTCAGCCGGTGCCAGGACACGTTACACGTGGGTGGACCTTGATGACGTTACGCTGTGTGAAGGAAGCCAGACACAAAAGGCACACGTGACCGAATTCCATCCATGTGGACAGCTAGAACAGGTCAACGCGCAGAACTGGGGCTTGCCAGGCGTCTCCTGGGAGGAGACGGGGTGCGGGCCCGCTTCCTAACGGGGGTGGCATTCTTTCGGGTTGTTCTGGAACTAGATAGAAGCGGTGTCCGCACAGCACTGTGAACGTACTAATACACTGCACTGTTTGCTTTAAAGTGGTTAACATTATAGTATGTAAATTTCACCTCAATAAAAAAATTCAAAAAGAGAGGGGGTTGCGGGCCTGCTGGGTGAATGGGAGTGGGTACTAATTTCTTCAGTTGCTGGGGTGTCCAACCCAGAGGGTCAGCAATTCAATCCCTGGCCACTGGCCACTTCTAGAACCAGGCACTGGTGAGAATGATCTGGGCTGTGAGAGGGGGTCTTGGGGAGACCCCAGGAGATGGGAACGGTGCTGGCAGGGCCCTCACCCTCCGTCCTGCATTCCAGGTGGTGGCGTCTGTGGTGGATCAAGACAGTTTCTCGGGCTTCGCGCCCCTGCAGCCACAGGTGAGGCAGCCCCCCGGCTCCGTGGGCCCTGAGACGGCGCCGGCGGAGTCCCTGCTGCCTGGCTTCAGGGATCCCTCTCTGGCCCCTCAAAGCTGCTGAGGCTCCTCCCTGCCAGTCCAGGTCACGGGTTCCTTGGCTGCTGGGGAGCAAGGCAGTTTTAGGCTTAACCAGCCTCAGGTCCTCAAGAAACCAACCCTCCTGCTTCCCCCCAAATGCTCATCATCTTCACTTCTCCAGGGGTCAGAGAGCTGCCGGGCGTCTCTCCCGAAGCTCCGACTCCCCTCTCGGAAACCTGAACTGCACGCTAGCGAAGGCCTTGGACGAAACTAGTGGGGACCCCGTGGGGCTGGGGCCCGAGGCCTTGCGTCCTCCTGGGTGCACGAATCCGCCTGTATGCAGGGGTCCCCTCGGGAACACAGGGAGGGTGCCCACAGGGACCCACTTTTCCGCCCGGGCCCGGAGGCATGGCTCCAGGTGGCTGGATGACGGGGTCCACGGAGGCAGAGCCTCCCTGTGAAGGGAGGAGGTGGCACAGGCTGGCAGGCTGCGGCGTGGCTGCCCGGGCACACGATGGGCAAGGGCGCGGTCAGCAGGAGCAGGGCGGGTTCTGGGCGCGGCGCTCTGCCCGGGTCTGCACACGTCCGGCCACTCCCGAGGGCAGCGCTGACAGCCGGCCGGGGTCGGAATGCTGACCGCTGGCCCGGCATGGGACCAGTGCTGGGGCTCCGGAGAGTCAGATGACAAGGGAGAGCGGGGATCCTGGACTCCTGCATCTTTCTCACACTGAACTGGGAAACTGTGCGGAGTCCTTTGGGCTTCGGCGCAGCCAGCTGTCTGCCAGAGGAGCCGTGCCGCAGAGCTGGGCGCCGCGCACTCAGCGTGGACCGGACACGAGGAAAGGGCGTCTGGCCTGGCGGGGGCTCTGGAGTTCACTTTAAACACCCACAAGTGTCATATGAGACAGCAGACATTAATTATATATAGAGCAGAGGTTTTGGAAACCGTCCTAACAAAGGAACAGAGCTCAAGGTCAAAGCCAACCTTGTGACGCCCTGTTGCTCTGTGACAGCTAAACTTCTCCCCACACGAGGTCTGGCCCACGAAGAATCGCTGTGCTGGCAAAACCTGTGCCCGGGGAGCTGGTGGGAGGTGTCGTTTTCCAGTGTTTACGCAGGGTCCACTGTGCCCTCTCCCGAGACGGTTCTGATGGAGCCAGAAATGCATACTTCGATTTTCTGGTCGGGAAGAAGGCTCAAGTTACCACTGACAGTCTGTTCTCTCTCTCTCTGTCTTGCCCGCCTTCCTTTCTCTTGAATGTTCAATAGGCAGCTGAGCCTCCACCCAGACCCAAAACCCCAGAGATCTTCAGGTAAGTTAGATTTAGATCGACACCAAGACTAGCCGGGCGCCAAGCCCGGCCCGATGGCAATGGAGGGGGTGGAGGAGACGAAGCTGGGTCAGGGTCTGTCTGGGTGGGACTGTCCCTGGGGGCCTGGCTACAGCTGCACGGCGCCCTGTGTCCCGGCAATGTCACCGCCACCATGCAGGGAGGGGTTGTTGCTGAATGACAGTAGTGTCCCATGGGACACAGCCTCTCCCTCCCAGCGGCTGGGGCACTGGCCCAGGGCTGCAGAGGGAGGGCGAGCCCCCCAGAGCCGGCGGGTGGAGTGGGAAGCGTGGCCGGCCCGTCCTGTCCTGCGTGGCGGTTCTCCCTCCCTATTAGCACCTGCTTCCTGAAGAAGCGACAGGAAGGACCGTTCTCCTGTAAGATGAGGAGCAAAGGATGACAGAGCCGACAGCTTTGTTAAGAATCTCCTCTCAGCGGGGAAGTCAGCCTAGCTCCCCACGCCCCCAAACTAGGTGTAAAGCAAAGTGGAAAAAGTACCAGAGCAACGATAAAAATGAGGGGTCTGGATGCACTCATTCCTCGATCTGCGGGGGAGTCACGGGGGTGACACCGAAAAGGGCCGAGGGGACAGTGACGGTAGGGCGTGAGCGGCACCCAGCAGGCCCGCCACGAGCAGAGGAGGGTGACACCCCATGGGCCACCTGAAGGCCAGCCTCTGGTCACACTCCAAAGCAGGCAGCCTCAGAACATCCATGAGTCCCCCACTCCGCACAGCTGCTCCTGAGACCTCATCCTTCCCTGACACCACGCTGGCCCCAGGTGACACCTCCCTGTCCCCGACTCGTCTGCTCACCCAGCTGGCTCTCACCTCCTCCTCCGGGCTGTTCCCTGGCACCGCACCTGCCCAGGCCGGGCGCACCCTCGAGCCGTCCGCAGGCGGGAAGGGAGGACGAGACCAGAGAGGCCTCCACAGCTAGCTGCTCTCTTTCAATCCCGACCCGCTGCATGGCCGGCCATGGAGCACGTTCACGAGCAGTTCCCCGCCCGTCCTCTGGGGAGCCCCGGGAGACACCGCTGCTCAGGGCCACTGGCAGTTAGACGGGAGTTAGAGGGTGTCGGGAGGGGTCTCCCAGCTCCAGGTCCATGGTGCATGACCCCCGGAGGGAGGGGTGGGCCAGGCAGAGGTGGACGGGATCTGTGCACCCGCAGGGCTCTGGAAGGGGAGGCTCACCGCGTGCTGTTCGGGTTTGTGCCCGAGACGCCAGAGGAGCTGCAGGTCATGCCCGGGAACATCGTGTTTGTCCTGAAGAAGGGCAATGATAACTGGGCTACGGTCATCTTCAACGGGCAGGTATTCTGAGGAGCGGGGGTGATGCGGGCACCGGGGGTCCTGGCAGCGCACGGGGGAGCTTTCTGAGCACCGGTATCTGCTACCTCCTTTGCAGAAGGGGCTCGTTCCCTGCAACTACCTCGAGCCAGTGTCGCTGCGGATCCACCCTCAGCAGCAGTCCCAGGTAACGTGCCAAGGCCGGGCCCATCCTGACCCCCAGCCGCTGCCGGACCTCTGTTCGGAAGGGGAAGCAGTGGGGAAAAGGTCGACATCCCTGGACTCAGGGTCCTGAGCCCACCGCGAGTTGGCACCAGCTGCCCAGAGCTGATGCTGGGAAGAGGGAGAAAACAGATGTGCTGAGCAGAGGTACCCTCGGGACCTGTTGGGCCAGCCCACCTTTCGTGATTCCTCCTGGTCATAGGTGATGGGACCTGAAGCCCAGTTTACGAAGGTTAGGTCTTCCTAGAAATGTCCTCTTCACCTGGAAAAATAGTCAAGGTGTTGGCTGGTGAAATGCCATTAAAAAAAAGAGAGAGAGGCCTGGCCAGTGTGGCCCAGTAGATTGAGCGTTGTCCCAGGGACTGAGGTCCCGGTTTGATTCCTGGTCAGGGCTCATGCTGGGGTTTCGGGCTCGATCCCCAGTAGGGGGCGTGCAGGAGGCAGCCGATCGATGTTTCTCTCTCTCTCCCTTCCTCTGTCTAAAAAATTAATTTAAAAAAACCATATTAAAAAGAGAGAGAGAGCCCTGGCCGGTTTGGCTCAGCGGTTAGAGCGTCCACCTGTGATCCGGAGAGGCCCGGGTTCGGTTCCCGCTAAGGGCAAGTACCTCGGTTGCAGTTTGTCCCCGACCCTGGTTGGTCGTGTGGGTGGCAGCCACTCGATGTGTCCCTTCACGTCGATGTTTCTCTCTCTCTCTCTCTCTCTCTCTCCCTCCCACTCTGTACAAAAAATGAAAAAATGTCCTCGGGTGAGGATTAAAAAAAAGAAAAGAGGCAGCAAATTACCTTATAAAAAAAAAAAGAGAGAGAGAGAGAGAGAGGAAGCCCTGTCTTAGAGCCGTGAACGAGTAGGCCTTACCCATCACTGCTTCTGAAGCTGCTACCAGCCCCCCGCTGCCCCTCAAGGCCTGCCCTGCCGCTGGGCCTGGTGAGCGGTCTTCGCTGGGTCCGAGCCGCCTGCAGATGGCCGGGGCAGTGGACACAGTTGTATTCTGTGGGCTCAGTCCTCCCTGGTCGGAATCGTGACATCCCGATGTCTGGAAAAGTTTCAAATGTCGCACAGAGGTGGAATGTTTCCTTTGGGGAGCTAGGTGTGGCAGAGAGGGTGAGCTGAGACCCGAGCGCAAGGTCCCCTCCCACCCCAGCCCCAGAGGACTTCCAATGTAGCGGAAAGGACCACAGGCCGCGGGGGCCTGGAGGAGGGGGGATTCCTATTTCCACTGTGGTTTGTTTTCACCAGGCCCACCCTGCCTGCCTTTGTAACCCACACTTCCTGAGTCTCCTCTGAACGTCACCAGCTCTCCAGCCTTTAGGAAGCCATCGGCAGCTGGCTCCTCCTTGGGGTCTGCAGGGTCCCCCCCCCCCAACCCCCTGCCCAAGAACTTGGTCAACATGGACGTTCTCACCATCTCTTCCTGTCACCTCCAGGAGGAAGCCTCCCCGGAGTCTGAGATCCCCGATCCGCCCATTTCCAGTGCTCCGGGAAGACCCCAGCTGCCCCCAGGTCAGTGTCCCTGGGGCACCATCCCAGGCCTGAGTGAAGGCACACTGCAAGCTGGTTCCGGAAATTCTGGTTTCTTTCCCTCTCAGCATGCCACTCAGCCCCCAGCCCGTCTCTCCTGCACCAGCCTCCCACCCACCCACAGCACAGGAGATAGATGCCCCTTCCCCTACCTGCTGCAGGATACGCATGGGCTTGGGTAAATGTGGCTGGTTTCCGGGGGACAGTGAGTGTTCCCACTCGTTGTCACCAAACCCCAGTCAATACTGAACCCATGTGCCGGGAGGAACAGGTGAAGTAACTGCACCTTTAGCTCAGATGGGGTTGGAGGGCTCTTTTCAAACTGAGGAGCTCTGTTATCTAAGAAACACCTGCAGAGCCCTCAGGGACAGGCGACGCGCCTGGTGCGACAGGGAGACTGCCCTGCTGTGTGGACAGTGCTGCCTGGGGAGGTAAAGGGCCTTTTGTCACGAATGCGGTTCAAGCAGATTCTGAGTGTTTGGCAGCGAAGCTCTGAGCCGGTGGTTTGTCAGATTCTGCATCAGTGATCACCCCGCCCACCTGATGATCAGAATTCCCACTGGTTTGTATTTCGAAAAATGTCAAACCTACAGAAAAGTTGAAAGTATGATACAAAAGATACCAGAATACCTTTCAACTACATTCACCAATTGTTAACATTTTGCAACTTGTATCTGCCCCGATCCTCTCTGTGTGTAATTATTTTTCTGAGAGGTTGAGCCGCTTCGTCCCAGGTTCGTGACACTTCACCCCACATTTCAGCATGTATCTCCGAAGGGCAAGGACATTCTTCTCCATAACCCCAATATAACTGTTATAGCATGATATTTAACATTAATTTTATAGAATGTGTATTTCCTATTCAAATTTCTCCAATTAACCTGCAAAACATCCTTGCTAGTTTTTTGGTTTGTTTCTCTCTTTCTAGGGGCCCATCAAGATCACCTATTAACCTAGGAAGATTTTAAGAGTATAAATAACTAGGCATTTTGATTCTTATCTTTTCGTACTGGAATGAGGCTTAGGAATCTGTATTTCTGCAAAAAACTTCCCATGTGACTTTTATGATCAAGCTTGGTTTGAGATCAATGGTCTTTTTTGATCATGAACCCTGTAGTATCTTTATGTATATTTCTCTTGTATAAATTATATGCACATTGCCATATTAATTTATTATACACACAAAAATAATGGCTAAGGTAAAAATACGTGGTTCTAACATTTCTTCTTCTGGCCCCTGGCTCACATCACAGTCCTGTTTGTCTTTGCTTTGGAGCCCACTGGCTTCGGGATTCCTGCTAACCCCATGGGCTGGTGAGGATGGGGAGTCCTTTGTTAATTACCCATTCGCTCCCTAGAAGCAGAGACCGGGTTCCTTTTGCATTCCTGGCTTTGCTCTTCACATTTCCCCCACATTAAGGTTACCAGTTACCTGAGATTAAAGGGTATGAAGTCAGGTGTCCTGTTCTAATGAATTCTGTGCATGAAAGAGGCTGGTCAAGAGTGTTCATTCATCTTCTTTTTTCACTCCTCACCTTCTCCATTTAGGTCAGAAAGAAAAAGAAGAGTCCAAGGTAACATTTTTTTCCTTGCACTATTTCAAGTGGTAGAGAATGGGAGAGCTTGGGCTGTCCACCATGGGCATGTCTCCCTGGATTATAGAAAGAGCCCAGAGAAAAGGTAGACCAGTTGCCACCATACTTACAGTCCATGCTCTAGGGACTCCTCAACACCCCCCAACCCTACCCCACGCACACATTTCCTGCTGGCCCACAGCTGGTGGGCCAGGTCTCAGCAGGAACTTCCTATCCAAGAACAGTTGGGCTAGCAGACCCTTCACATTACTTAGTGGAACCAGTTACTTGTTGGACTCTCCCCGGCTACCAGTCAAGCTGTGCCGAGCCAGGAGGCTGCTAAGTGGAAGCCGTAGACACTCACGGGTTCCCTTTGCTTCCTCTCCCCTCAGGAAGTCAAGCTCAGTGTTCCCATGCTCTACACGCTCAAGGTGCACTACAAGTACACGGTGGTCATGGAGACTCAGCCCGGACTCCCCTACAGCCAGGTCCGGGACATGGTGTCAAAGAAACTGGAGCTCCTGCCAGAGCACACTAAGCTGAGGTGAGCCCAGGCAGGTGGCAGTTAGGGGACAGCTGGGGACCTGGCGTTGGCCTAGAGGACAGAAGAGGAGGATGTTCTCTGACTTGGTTCTTTCTCATTATCTCTACCCAGCTATCGGCCCGGGGACAGCCGCGACCTGGTGCCCCTTTCAGAAGACAGCATGAAGGATGCCTGGGGCCAAGCGAAGAACTACTGCCTGACTCTGTGGTGTGAGCACACGGTGGTGAGTGCGGGGAGCCTCTTCCTCAGCAATTCAGCATCTGTCAAGCACCCATTTCATTCTAGCCTCAGCTTCAGCGGGGAGTCGGGTTCAGAAAGGGGACACCACCGGTAAGCGGTGGAACTGGGACACACACCTAGTCTTTGGGGCCCTGGAGGCCTTCCAATACAGGGGATCCGCCACGGCTGGAGCAAACAGCACTAGGAAACGAGAACTTTTAACACTTGTACAGCCTTTGGCCTGGCAGAGTTTGCAGTGTTCATTCCTTAAGTCCTGTGATTCGCACCTCTAGAAACTACACCTTTCCTTGGACAGTATGACGCCCTGCAGTGGTTCTCAAACTTGAGCAAGTACAGAATTACCTCGAGGGCTTGTTAAAACAGACTGCCCCACCACAGCGTTCTAATTTAACAGGTTTGGGGTGGAGCTGAAGGTTTGCATTTTCACAGTGTCCCCAGTGATGTGAGAGCTGGGGAAGGGGTTGGACTCACAGACCCAGGTTCGACTTTGCATTCTACCACTTCCTGGTGACTCACCCCGTTTCTCCATCAGAAAAGAAGTCACAATAGTACCTATTCTACCTTTTTAGGATTACTCTAAGTTTTCCGCAAGACTATAAGATTCTATATGTTCCTGTAGACCTTTAGTTTCCGCTATCCAACCATCTGGTTCAAGCGCGTTGTCTATGCTACACTCATCCCAAACCTGCCTCTGAGTTTATATCCAGGTGCTACACCGACCTTTCACCGACCGAATCCTTTGGTGATGACGTTGACTGTTCTCTGACCAGGACGTTAGGGAAACTAACAGGCCCTTTATTATTTCAGGGTGACCAAGGCTTTCCAGAGGAACCCGAGGAAAGTGAAAAATCTGATGCTAGTGGCCAGACGCCAGAACCTCCGCTTAAGGAGGGGAGCCGAGTGGTGGCGCTCTTCAGTTACCAGGCCGCGCAACCAGAGGACCTGGAGTTTCTGGAAGGCGACATAATCCAAGTTGTATCCATGGGTAAATGCCTCTCTTAGATTATGGAAATTAAATGTCCTGTTATCAGAAATACATTCAAGGGCAGAGGGCAGAAAACATCACTAACCTCCAAACAAAACTTGAGCCAGTGGCTTCAACCTCCTTCCTCGCTTTGACACACAGGGAGCAAAACGTGGGCGTCAGCTTTTCCTTTGGTTGCTTTAATAGGCAGGGAAACAGCAAATGGCAACTTAAGTAACATTCCATCCACATTTGAAGATGGCTACGTTTTAGAAGCCATGGGTTCCCACTCCCAGAGTGAATGAACCGGATGGTGGCTGGGATCGTTTTGCCTTTGCACCAAGCCATATGATACGTATCTTCTGCAAACCATAGTTCTTCGGATATACGTACTTTCAAAGATGAGTGCAGAAGGTTATAAATTTTGTCTTAAAGGCAACTATTCAGAATTACTGTGTTTCTGGTCACTTTCCTGATTCTGGTAGGAATCAAACACATTAAAAATTGAAACGGTACGTGGAGAGTTTGTTAAAAGTCCCTGGCCCAGCTCCCAGAGATGCTGCATCCAGTCTGAGAGGGGATGCATGATCTGTGCTTCTCGCGAGCTTCCAGTGATGCTGTTCTGACTGTACCGAGTTCTCTAACTGGAAGCAAATGAGTCCTATCGGCAGCTTTGTTCCCGTGGCTGACGTGTGCATTAGCAATGAGAGGAATAAAAACCGAATGCTGCTGCCAATTATAACAGAAAACCCAACAGATTAAGAAATGAGAGCAGGGGACTGTACAGTCAATGAGGCAGAGTGAGTATACAAGCATATGGCAATTAACGACTGCACATCCTCCGACGGGGTGGCAACTCGGTGTAAGAGCTGGGTTTGGTGGCTCCCGTACCATTTTCTGTTACTAGCAACCGACCAGCTAAATGGTCCCGAGTTCTTTGGGGGGGGGGGGGGGCTAAAAACAAGAGCACGCAGAGAAAATCTTTCTGGGTAGATAAGGAGAGATGGTGGTGTAGTCCTTACTGTGGGATGTACAGAAGGCTTGATTCTGGACGTACCCATATAATATTGTGAAACTTTATCATAACACTTAAATAGAAAACAGAATTCAGTACATTATTGGGTGGTACTACGGGGGTAAATTCAACTGTATTTAACAGTTATGAGATAGTTTCATCCACAAAGTTCCTCAAACTTAATGTGAATTATCTGAGGATCTTGTTAAAATGGATGTGACTCATGTTTGGGGTAGGGCCTGAGATTTTGCATTTCTTATATGCTTCCAGCCCCATGCGTTGTGTTCTAAACAGGAAAGACCAAGACAGTGGACTGCAATTAGAATTACCTTGGGGGAACTTGAGAAAATGTCCTGATGGCCAGGCACACCACTCACAATTAAAGCAGTTTCTGGGATGGACCCAAATGTCTGATCTAGACAGATTATATCAAAGATGGACTTCTGAAGTGGTTGTGTGGTCTGGCTGATGGGCTTTGGAGCAGGTCACACCTGCCCTGTCTATTTATTGGCACAATGTATCCAAACAAGCTATTAATCTCTCTGGGTCTTCTTTTCCTTAGTAAAATGATATTTACAACCCAGTTATTATGAAGTCTGAGTATAAAACGTAACAATGGCTGCAGTTTATTAACAGCTCACAATAGGGGCTATTAACATCCTTGTTTTATGGACATTGGATTGAACCCCCTCACTCGCTCCAACTCTGTTCTTTGACTGCACACTAGTGAACAGACTTAGCAATGCATCCCCTTTCCTGTAGTCCAAAGACACCTAACAAAGCTCAGATAAAACTCTTCTCATAAGAAATGATACCTAAAGATCATTGTTCAATTCCTTTCATCTTACTGCCCCTTTTAAGTCTACTTCCTTCTCCTGCGTTTCACTTCTCCACTCTCGTGTGAAGGCGGACGTCGGTCACGAGACGGCCGAGTTCGACGTGCACTCTGGCCTCTCACGTCACACTCCACACTGACCTTTCCGTTAGACGGGTGGAGGGCTGGCTGCCATCTGCGCGGAGCCCCGGCGAGGCGGCTCTCCTTCATGGATTAAGACACCAGTCTCTCTCTCTCCACCAGTGAACGACGAATGGCTGGAAGGGACGTGCAAGGGGAAGTTCGGCATCTTCCCCAAGGCGTTTGTGGAACAAGCAGCTGCAGGCCTGGACAGCACCCCCAGAGGAGTCTAGGAGGCCTCATGCCTTGAAGCTGAGCACAGAACCATGTCATTGGGGAAGCTGACGCCTTTGTGGTACTGTACCGAGACCCTATGGTCTGGAACTGTCAACGAACCGACTTTTCCCTGTTAAAATTTAACCTGTTAGACAATGATGTGAGAATCTAGGACTGTGAACACCTGGGGGTGGGGAGGGTAAGTGGTTGGAGCGTCTTCCTGGGTGCGGATGTGTCTTACTCAGAGTGCCGGCTGCCCAGATGTGCTCACTCTGTGCACGTTTCACTGAGTTGTAGTTATTATCGGTGCACTTCTCTGTACGTGTGATAAAAATAAAACCCCAAGACACCCAGAACACAGGCCCAAGGCCTAAATGTCAACCACTCGATTCCTGCACACCACCGCCAGACTCCCAGGGCCCAAGCTACCCTCACCAGTCATTCAGGAGGCAGACAAAATTAACTTTTCTTTAGGTCTTGTTGTTTAAACACAACCTAGACTGAGTTAGGTTCCCGTGGAATTGCTAGAATCACATCCCTTCGTGACTTGTCACAGAGAAACATTTAAGAGCTTACTAGGAATATTTGCCACTAATATCTAACTGATCAAAAGAAGTTGTGTTCAGCCAGCCAGTTGGCCGAGTACCCTATTAAGTAACATTTACAGTGCATACGGTACCAATGTACAGAAAAGGGTGCTATGGCTTTACTTCGGTTATCTTTTACCCAATAGCCTGTTTTTCAGGGTTAAGCTGGGTGAAGGAATCCATAGATACTAGACCTTAGGGCTTGGCCTTAACATTGCACCCCCCGCACTCCCTTCTTGTGAGTATACAGGGCTTTGTTGACAGTTTTCCAAGTGTACAGGAAAATACACTTATGAAAAACAGTCAGATGCAGACTGAATCAACACCTAGGCAGAAGGCCAGCTGCCTGCCACTGGACACTTTGGACACAACTCCAAGAAATGCATCCCCAAAGCTAAGAACAATCATTACACTTGCTGCCAATCAGACTCAGTGAATTTTATAGGCCCAAAGGATCGACTCTCTCTGAATTGCCTTACTAACAAGAGAAAACAGGGATAAAAATGGTGGATATGTTAACTCCTTTGCATAAGTATTCTTTACTTATTAAAGAATTTTGATAGTTCCGTTCTACCCACCCCTTCCCACACTAACGCACACTGGTCTGGAAGCTACTAAAAGCAAAAGTAGCCCTGAAGCAGCAGTAGCCCTGAAGCATATTCAATATCTGACCACCTTCGCTTTCCTCTAGATGACTTCTGAGTCGTTTCCGAGTCTTGCTTTAGAAGTTTGATTGTCTTTTAGGGTAGGAAAGAAACCACCTGTACACAGATCTGGTTGGAGAGAACATGGTTTAATTAAAGGCAAAGCTGATTTCAGCAGCTGCAGGTCTTGCACAGACAGACCAAAACAAAAAAACAAAACAAAACAAAAAAACAAAACACAAAAGAAAGTTTACTACACAAACCCAGTTTCTGATGAAGAGTCTCCTCTCCCTCCTCATTACTCCACACTGAGGATGGTAAGGGGAGTAACCGCCCCGAGAGTCAGAGAACATTCCAAACACCAAATGCTCATGCAGAGATGGGGCTGCAGAGGGCTGTGCGGGCTCCGGGGAGCGGGGCGCGAACCTGGCTAGCTGGTCTAGGGTGCAGAGTCCGTGACAGTTCACGCTGGAATGTTGCAGCTGCCTGAGTGTGGGGCTCACACACACAGAGTGGGGGAAGCAGCAGGAAGGATCTTGGCATGGGGGGACTGAAGAAGGGTGGACAAGGAAGGGGCAGGAGAGAAGCACAAAGGGTTTCATGTTGCCATGGGGGGGGGGGGGAGGCTTTACCCTTTCAGACGCCCCCCGTCCAAAAAAAGAAAACAAAAACCAAAAAAAACCCAAACACCATGTCAAACTAAGAGAGCAGTATCAGCACACGGACTCCAACCACTCCGAAGAGCAGTGAGCTCTAACCTCGCCCCCCTCGCTGCTGGGGCTGCCCAGGCCCGCGACACCGGGCTCCTGCACGTGCTTTGCTCTGCGGCCGTTTTCCAGCTCTGAGCTCCCACACGAACTCCACACACGCAGACACACCCCCTCCCCTCCGCGAGCAGAAGGGCATGTGCACGTGCACACACACACTCACCGTGCACACAAAGGAGAGGCCTCCCAGAAATACCCCCTAGCACTAGCACAGCCACTGGACATTTAGATCGTTTCCATAATTTCCCCTTAAAGTATTACTCTTCCAGGAAATGACTAACAGAAATGCTGTCCTGTTTCTACACAAGAAGATTTCAGTCCTCTTTCCCTCTAATAAATAGCAAATAAAAGTTCATTTTCCTTTCTTCCACTTCTTCCAGAATGGACTTCGTTGTGTTTTCTCCCGTGCGTGGTGCACGTGTCCGTGTTGCCTTGAGTCTCGGTCTGCAAGTGGAGGCTGGGAGGCTGCTGCGGGAGGGCCTGGCCTCTGGGCTGCGCAGACGCCACCGCGTCCTTCGTCTTCAGACTGTCTTTTGGGCCCCAGCTGTAGCTTCTTGGTGTGATGTTGTACACATGAGCAATAAGAACGATGACCAGCGTATCGCATAGGGCAGAAAAGGATGGAGGTAGGGATGGGAGGAGGGGTGGTAAATAGAATGGGGCACAAAAACCAACCGAACAAAAAATACCACACTGAAAGCTTCTACCTAGTGAAACATCAGGCCACGAATGATGCGTCGCCTTCTGAGAGACCGCTGCCCTGCTACTGCACAATGTCCAGGGATCAAAAACGTTCATTCCAAACCCTACCGCGGCCTCCTGCTGGTCCAGCCCAGCGCCACCACCCACACTGGATCCTCGAGTGGAGCTCGAGCACCTACAGAGTGAAGGGCACGTCCTGCTGGAGTCTCCAGGCCAGAGGAGGGCCTACTGGAACCTTCCAAGCGGAAGGTCAGGCCTCGCGCTCTCCCCGTGGACCGCTGCCGCCGCCGCAGGGGTCGCTTCCCCATCCTGACATCACTGACCTCCCAGGGAGCAGTGAACCCCCGTTCTTGCTACACACTGACTAGAAGCACATCTGTGTATGGAAGAATTCAGTGTGACTTTTTACTACTGAGAGTAATAACAATAATAAAAGATGTTTAGGAATAATTTCAACTACATTCTCAGTCAGCAAAGCAATCGTTAATGGATCCCTATTTTATTCCCCGCAGAGGGGAAAGGACTGAGAAGTCCCCAGCGGCTTCCCCACCTGCCTCCCCTCCTCACTTCGCTGCCCACGTGGCTGGGGACGCGCTCGAGGAGAGGCGAGAGGCGGTGCTCTCGGGTAACTGAGCACAAGCAGCAGTTCCCTCTCCCTCCGGAAGGCCCGGGGGGCGGAGAGTTCCTGATGGTTTTTCTTTTTGTTGCACTGCGGACATTCGTGCACACTCAGCGGGCCGGTGGAACACTTACACCCTCTCGACGGCCAGAAACAGAAAAGAGGGCTGCCACCTGCAGGCACTGCGGGCAGTCCTGCAAACCCAACATGCACGGTGCATGGAGCCTTCACTGCCAGGCCGGCACCCTGGCTCAGTGTGGAGGGTTCATGGTGCCTTGTCCCCGCTGCTGCTTCTGCTTCTGCTGCATCAACAGCTGCTCCAGCGCGGAAGGGCCAGGGTGCATCATGGAACTGGACCAGATAGACTGAAAAGCAGCCCGAGCTCGTCAGCCTGCTGTCTGCGAGGACTGGTTTCCAAACCCAAGCAGATGTAAAGGCACAACATCCCAAGATCCCACCCCTTGAAAACTCCAGCCATTAGAGAGCCTGTCTTCAAGACTAGTGAGTTCCCATTATTTTAGACCAGATAAGGTGAAAGTATGTTTCATATGAAGTCTTTTTACTAAAACTCAGCTCCATGTGGGCCCACAGAGTATTTACTATTAGATGCCATTCTTTCACTTGTTCAGAAAAGGCTTAAATCAAACATTTCAAGATGAATCAGAATCTTCCTAACTTTAAAATGCAACCAGGACCTGTGTATTTCTGGTCCCTAAAGATAATGCTTGATCACTAGGGAATCCACAAATTAACACCAAGAGCCCATTCATGAATCTTATGAGGCAGGCCCTGTTTCGAGAACTCTGCTAGATGTGTGCCATTCACTGACCAAGCCTGCGGGCCTTAGGAAGGCACCCAGCTGCTCATGTGAATGAGCGCAGAGACACCGCCTGCGGTTCGCGTTCCTGAGACCCACTCACCTTTAGGCTTTCCATGAGAACCGCAGAGGAATCCTCCACGGAGGGGCCGTGGCCTGTCCAGGTGCCGCTTGGAGTGCTGGTCTGATGCCAACTGCTCTCAGAGGACGATGTTGCTGAGAGATAATCAATGCCAAACCCACCCATGGCTAAGATATGAAGAGAGATAAGAATTCAGGAAGGCGTTTTATCACTGCCAAATGCCAAAAGCCAGGGAAAGATACCGTAAAGCTATTTCGCTTTTGTGCAGTTTGGGTCTCACCTGGCTTATCAGTTTTCCACCGATCTGCAACTCTCCTATCCCTGTTGTCTGGAGCCCCAATGGGCCCAAAATTGGAGAAAGGAGCAGAACCATGGCTGTGTGTCGGAGGGGAGCTCGGCAGGCTGCTCGGGTTGGAAGAATGAGGGGACTGGCTGGCTGGTGTTGACTGATCTATTGAACAACAGCAAGGCAGAGCATTGAATAGATAAGTTGTTTCATAAACGTGCCGAGAACTCAAGTTTCCTGTAGATCTGATCATTCAAATTCTACTAGAAATAAGCAGAGGACTTTGGAGGAAAGGCAAAATAAGGGCCCGAAAAGGACTCGACTAGATGCAGGAATCTGTTTCACTGAACATATCAAGGCACATTCCTTGCTGTAGAACAAAACAAAGCGACACAGAGCAGTGGGCGATTCTGTCCAGAGCACACACTAACGCGGCACGCATATTTCAAGTGCGTATCCTTCGGTCTACACGAGGAACAAAATTGCCTGACCTGAAGAATTATAATTAAATCACATTCCATTTATAAAATAGGAATTTAAAAAATCTCTATTTTAAAAACTGCAATTTTTCCTGCAAATAATGACTACCTACATACAAAACTAAAAAAGAGCTGAAATCCTTAAGACAGAACCCATGTTTTTCTCCCTTCCAACTGCTCGTTACTGAGGATGTGAATGAGCTCTTTTAGTGGCCTCTGTTATGTAAACTGGCTCATCAGGCTTTTTTTCTATTTTCTTTCAGAAGTTGCTAAAAAAAAAAAAAGAACCTAATATATTTATAATTACAAAATCATACAAGCTCTTAACGAATTTGAGTTTACCAGTAATGCAAGGTCTATCATTTAAAGACCA